GTAAACTGATGAAACTAAGGAGTATATTCTTAGTATATTAAAACCAATAATTTTTTTAGAAATTTCTAATCCAAATCTTTTCCACAAAGTATGAGGCTTATTGAAAAGAGGTTTTAAAATGCAGGGTAGGTTTTATCTTTCCTTAAGTACCTCTTTAAACCAGATACAAATGGTCAGTTTTCACCTTTCCCATTCTGAACCTGTGGTTATGCCTGTTCTGCCCCTGCTCTGCACAGTTCTGTTTCTGCAAGGATACTATTGCTGGCCAAGAAGCAGCATCCAGTGGTGTGAACCTTCCTCACTCATCTGTTCAGACAGCAGGAGGCTGTCCTGCCGCAGAGGAAAAACCTGGTATACCTGCAGATAGAAAATGCAGTGCCCTTGTTTGACAGGTTCGAAATGACGAATTAGTTTTGTACCTCCCTTAATACTCAATATAAATTTATTTCTATCTTCTATATTTTTGTCAAAAGACAGGATTGAAATTAAGGGTATGATGGAGGGCTTAAATAATTCATACGGAATGACACAATTCAGGGCTTTTGGATGGCATTTACATTTTATGAAATTCTTAAAAAAATAACTAGTAATAACCACTTAGATATGGGAATACTTCTGGGGGGGGCGGTACTTGTTACCTGGTAGTTGCAGGGAGAAGGAAGAATAATAGGAAAGCTGCATAAAAACACTCCCGTTCTCTTTTTGGTCTCTCAAGGTAGACACACAGAAACTACTCATTTAAAAAAAAATGCCCACTTTCTGAAAATCAAAGCTATAAAAATCTCAGCCCATACACATACATGCCTTTTAAGTACACAGAAAAGTTCTGACTTCTCTGAAGTATGTGCCACCAGTCCATCTTTCACCTCTGAAGCTATTTTGATCATGATGGTATTCACATTTTACACTGAGGACCCGTTTTGATCATATGCACTAATTGTTTCTCTTTATTGAATGTTTCATGGCAGGGAACAGTAATTTACCTTTATTTCATATGTGTACTTGGATGGCACACTTGTCAATTTGAGAGAGACAGTTCATTGAACTGTTCTTTGGTTCAGGGGAATCAGTGACTTTGGGTCAGGATGAAGGGAGGGCTGCTAGGCAGAACTGGTAGGGAAAGGGATTTGGCCTGTTTTGAAAGTGAAAAAGTGAAGTAAAAAGAGGGATGCAATTCATTACCACATACTGTGATGATGGAGGGCCTGGGTCTCATGTTTTGCCTTGAGGAGTTCAGTGGAGGATACCTCAGTGAGTTTCGGTGTATGGATCACTTATTTTATGTGGAAAGACTGAGCTGTTCTACAACAGAGTGATGGTAGTAGGTCTAGGTACCTTATGCACAATTTATGTGGTTTGGCCAAAGCTGTGTGACAAGACACAGTCATCATGAATATCATTTTAACCCTTCTGGCCCTTCTGATGAAAGGGAAGTCCTTTACCTTTTCTTGCTCACATCAGTTAATCTGACCTAATTCTATTTTCTTTATCCTATTTTTCTCAGAAAAAGGTAGTGTTTTTTTCTGGCATTGAACATTTTTTCTAACTTTTTTCCCTGACGAAATCAGTAATGTCTTTACCCTGCTCTTCACACAACTAAGATTCTGCATGCACATATCATTTGTGACTCTCTTATGGGAATGTGATATGGTAAAAATTAAATTTTAGTCTGATCCCAACTTTTACCTAGTTAAGATGATCAATCACACAATATAATGAAAAAATCTAATACAGTAGTGGTCATAGCCCACAAACAAACCAAAGCTAACAGTAGTTTACAAATCTTCTGCACCACTTAATTCAGCAGAGGTTACTTAAAGTCAGAGCCTGGAGAAGGACTGAAAATGGGATAATCAAATTACCTAAATACCCTGTTGACTGCAGATTGTTTCTTAACCTTCATTCATGAGGTCAGTCAGCAGACTGGATAAAGGTGAAAAATTTATCTTTGGGAGTTTAAATTCATAATGAAGTTAATCCATGAGATACCTACTAGTACATAACTTATTTCTCAATGTTTTGGCTAATATGGAGGCAATCTCTAAACCTAGCTACATTAAAAAGAACAGTTTATTTATTTATCTATCTATTATCTATCTGGTTTTACTGCAGTTGCTCCAGCCAAAGGTATTTTCCATTGTCATGGTACTTTCTGTAGCAGGATTACTTCTGAAACAGTAAGGATAATTTCCTTACCTTTAAAATTGTTAACCAGCATCTCTATTAACAGGCAACATTTGGCTGCTTTCCTGAAATTCAACTGTGAAATCTGCATGGGGGTCATGAGTCCCAAGCAGGGCTCAGTTTTGTAAACCTGGATGGGGGCAGTGCTCCCTGGGGCAGGTTATTTTCTCTGTGTTAAATCAACACTGCAGCCAAGCTCATTTGTTCTTCAACAGCTTTGCTGCTTTTCAGGTGGATTCAATAGCTGTCTGAACATAATGACCACGTCTTTTTGGACAGCTGGGAGCACGGAGTTCATGTTTGTTCAGGATGTACTGACAAAACGTTGTTTTTACATAAAAAGTTCACTTATACAAGACTTCAAAACAGCCTTACAGTTAACCTGGTACAGAGTCCGGTTGTCTGTCTAGAAAAACACCACTAAGGACTATCAGTCAAGGTTTTGTACAAAACACAAGCTGTTAAAGCTTTGGTCAAAGGTTTTCCTACTGACTGAGACTGGTATCTGATATAAAGGGAAAATGTATGAGAACAGAAAATAGAGAGTGACCCGGAGTCTTGCAAGGAGTGTCTTCAGGATTTCAGTACTAGAAGATGTATTCAAGCCAGTGCTCTTAATATTCAGTGATGGATATTGTCCATTTTGGCCCCTGCAATATCCTGTAGAAATAAGTTTCTGCAGTTTAATTAGGCACTTTGGTCAGTGTGTGCACTGGGAAAATATTTTGATTCCTCTTAAAGCTGTGGCCTGATAATTTCAGTTCTTGTTCTGTGAGAAATACTTTACAATCGTTTGCTTTTCACCTTCTCCATGTCATTCACAAAGCTACACATACAGCTATTACAGCCTCCTCCTCCATATACAGTCCTCTCTCTTTCAAATAGAAAAGTCTGGGGGCTTTGTTTGTGGTTTTTGTTGGGCTTTTTTTTTGCCATCATGTCTGGGCGCTTTAGGGAAACCTTTCATTGTAGTAAATCTATCAATCCATGACATCTTGTCCAGGGAAGGAGCGTTATCCGCTCCTTGTCAGATGGGGTGTCACTTCTACTATATCTGGTTATAGCTAGGAGGGTGTAAATTGCACATGGCTTTAAAGCTCCAGGTGCCACTGGAGGCACTCGGTGACATAATTTCTAGCTTTCCCTCCCAATTCCTTTTTCCCTACCATTCTGAGTTTGACTCCAGTTGACTGTCAAGCTGATATTTTCATAAAGCTGACTGAAGTGATTCTCCCCCTCTCCCTCTGGAGTTGTAGTTGCTCATTTAGAGTTCATAATTATGCAAGTGAAGTTATTTTTCTCAGGTACACCACATTTATCAACATAGCATTTTACTAACCATTTTATTGCTCACCAATTAAGTCTTGTTTTAATTCTTCACAACCAGCTTTAGTTTTTATTATCCTGCATATTTTTATAATAGTGGCAAACATTTGTCAATTCACTAGCTGCTCATGCTTTCAGATCTCTCAAGATAATATTGCAAAGCACTGCTCTTACTGCACATCATTGTAGCATCTAACTGTGACCTTGACCACTGTAAGGATGGCCACTAGTCCTACCCTTCTTTCTCTACTTCTAATCAATTATTAGTCAATGTCAAATTAACTTCTTAAGAAACTTTGATAAGAAACCTTTCCAAAAGTCCTTTAAAATTAAAAGGATGTACCTTGACAAAATTATATCTCTCTCACAGTCATTGATTCCTCTAAAGAGATCTGACAGGTTTGGGCGGCACAGGTCTGGGCGGCACAGCTTCCCTTCACAAAGCCATACAGGCTCTTCTGCCACAGAAAACAGTTTTTCTATGATTTCTCTTATTCTCTCTTTTAATGTAGTGTCTATTCATTTGCAGAGGACAGCTGTCAGATATACTGTACAAGTAATAACAAGTACAGGAGTAGCAGTACCTTTCAGCTATGGGTTTTAAAGCATTTCTCAAGTCAGCCAGCTGTGGAAGTGGAGGGCAGAAAAGTTAAAACAGTTACAAGGCTGTGAAGATAGTAACTGGTTGCTGTGGAAGCAAGGAAGCAAGCTCTCCTTGTGCCCTATCTGTCTTGCAATTCATTGTACTGTGGCTGAAGAGGGACCTTCCCAGTCTTTCAGAGCTACTACTGTGGGTTTTGGCATCCCTCCCTGTGAAAATACAGATGTGCTCTGCTCTGGTACCTGCCCTGGGAGCAGTACCTACTTCTCTATTGCTTTTCTTTTAGATATTCACAGATCAACTGAGGTGAGAAGGGATCTTTAGAGGTCATCTGACCCAACCAAGCAGAAACACCTAGAGCTGTGTGTCCAGGCAACTTTGAATATCTCCAAGGATGGAGACTTCACAATGCTCACTACCTTTTTCAGCCAGCCATGGTAAACCAATATAGCAACAGTTTCCACTCCTGTAAAGTTTGATTTCTTGTTTTGTCCAGGTATTGTTTTCATGTATGATTTGCTGTTAGCTCCTGTTGTTACTGCTGTCTAACTTCAAAAAACAAGCTTAACTGCTTCATACTTTTTTCCTGAATGTCTCTTCCCGCTACCTGGAGTATTGACATTTCATTCATCACCATAATTAATATACGAGTGATAAAGTGATGGCATAAAGATGACATGAAAGTTTTATTAATAAGTTTAGGACAGCATGTTACCACAAGTAGAAATCTGCAAACCAATCTTGCCAAATGAAGGCCTGTAAATCTTCTACTACCATGATATCATATATTCAGGATATGTCAAAGTTCACAGTTAAACTGGAAATATTGTGAATTTTTGAATATTTTACTGATGTTTCTCATAACTCATTTGTTGTCTGGCTTACTTACCATGGGTACAAATGTACAAAGTCCAAGACGGAGAGAATTATCTTCTATAAAACAACAACAACCAAAATATCCTCTTCCATATGCTTCAGTGATTTGGCACCTGCAAAAGGCAGAAGCAATATATTGGACATATCATTAGAAATACAGAAACCTTTCTTTATTTCTCCTACCTCTATGCTAACCAGAAGAATAAATGTTATGGAAATTTCAGATGGCAATTAAAAAAGGACAGAATACTTTCTGCCCTAAAATCAAGACTGTGAATTTTTTAAGACTACCGAAGGTCTTTCCTATCAAAGGTCTTTCTTGTACCTTGTTTAGCTATATCTTCTATGAGTCCCTTAGTGTCTTGGCAGTCCTGAGGTAATGGTTGGACTTGGTGATCTTGAAGGTCTTTTCCAACCTAGCAGGTTCTATGATTCTGACTTTATGTATTTTAAACTGAAATGATTGTCATCTTTTTATTTTTCCATTTATTCAGTTTCTTCACAGTTTTTAATCTGTGTTATTTGCTCATGGAAAGAGGAACAGCTTTCATCATGTTCTGTTTGTTTTTATTTTTCAAAACAAGGGAAAGGAAATAAAATACCCAGAACCTTTTATGAGAAAGAAGGAAATAAGAAACATAGCTGTCTACATAAATACATGCACATGTACATACACACACACATGCACTAGACTTGTTGCAATTAAAAACTAAACCAAGTAATTTTTGTTTTGTTTTGCCTTCAGGTATGGAGTTAGAATGATTCTACCAAATGCCGTCTACTTGTCACCTCAAGTAACTGTTACACATGATGGAGCCATGTTTTCCAGGGGATGGCTGAACACCTGCCTGCTGATGGGGAGTGATGAATGAATTCTTTGGTTTGCTTTGCTTGGTGTGTGGCTTTCTCTTTACCTATTAAACTGTCTTTATCTCAAACCATGAGTTTTCTCACTTTTATCCTTCCAATTCTCTCCCTCATCCTTCTGAGGGGTGGGTGATTGAGCAGCTGGGTTGTGCTTTGTTGGCAGCTGAGGTTAAACCACGACATACCCATGGAAGGCAAAGGAAAGACTCCTACAGACTTCTGTGGGCTTTTGGTAAGGTTTTAAACCCTTAAACTCTCAGAATCCTGTCAGTTCCCCTGCCACATCAAAATTTACTGAAAAATCTATCAGAAGAGTGGAAAATACTTCAAAGGAAGTATGCTCAGAACCCCACAGGGAAAAGTGTGTTATAAATGTTAATGCTCAATTTGATTTACTCCTCTCTTTGATATTAGAAATACATTGTAGCTGAAAACAGCTGTTAGCATGGTCAAATATGGAAAAAACACCATTAGTGGTCTCCTTGTCCTTGGGCTGCTAGCATACATGACATTGAGGATTCCTGCTAGTCATGCAGGTAGTGACTCACTGTCCTCTTTGTGCATATGATAGAGAATAAAAAGTCATTACGCTGGTTTACTTTTCTTTCTCCTAAAGAAAGCAGTCTTAATTTAGAAGGTTAAGTATCCACTATATTAGAAGGAAAAACGTAATGCAGAGATAAATTTCAGAGGTCAGCTTCCTTTACTTTAGAAAATCACTTAAATATGGAAGATCTCCTAGTTCATTTGCATTGTTTGGACATGTTCTCCGGGCTTTTAAAAAACGCCATGGTGGTCCTCAGTAGGTGTGCACAGGAAGGTGTAACACACACAGTAGTTTACACACAAAAAGGACTGTGTGCAGATGGAAAGTATGATAGAAGAGATTCCTATCATCATATAGACAAACAGAAAAACCTACTAGAAAGTCAGTAAACCAGTGCACTAGATTGAGTAGACATCTATCTTTCACATTTTTATAAATACTAAAGAAGTAGGAGAATCTTGTGTACAAACACTGTGCTCTCTACCACAGAAAAACACTTTCTGTAACAGAAAGCTATCGGAAAGAACATCTTCCTTCTTTGAAGAAGAGATTAAAGATGTATGCATTTAGCCCAGCAAGATAAAGGATGGAAGGCAAATACACATGGCTTTTGTGGATCAATGGCGGAAGGAAAAAAACCTGCTTCAAGCCACACTGGCAGAGCGTTGGAAAAATTCTATATGGGAATTAGGAGCCTGCAGCTCTCCTGGTCTGGAGCAACCTTACAATGGCAATGCTTAAACCTGTCTGGTTTTCAGGTACAGTTTGATTGAGTTCAAAGGAAGCTATTTGGTGGGATTGACAGACACTGGTGATTTCCTCTACCCCAGTGGTCAAAACACAGAAGAATTAATCCAGGCTTGCAAAACTACCTAGGCTTTACAGACTAACTTTGAGTAGTTTCCCCCATCCCTCTTCTTAAATGTTATGTCTCAAATCCATGCTGTGCCACAAGTCGAAGACCAATGCATGTCAACACTGCTGTTTTACATAGCTTTTTACTGATTTCAATTTTTTAATTTTATGTGCTCAGAGATAACCATTATAGCAAAATCTGATATTGGAAGTCTATGGTCTGGGTTAATAAGTCCAGTCTGTATGAAAGCTCATGTCTATCTATAAAGAACTGTTATATGTAATCACTAAATAATAGTGATTTTGAAAATAATTAAATTTACCAGTGTTTCCCAAAGATAACTATACCCTCAAGTAATTTAAAAATGTCAAATAACTTTTAGGTGCTCCCCAAATACAAAGTAGCATTAGCGATTCAGTGCTATAATTCCCCATTTCCTTAAAAAATATAGTACATGAGTCTTATGAAAGTTCATGACTATTTTGGAGGGGAAAGTATCAATTCCATTAGTAAGATATTCCATTTCAAAGTTTCATGACCTGCCAAAAATCTTTCTTCACTTCTCTAAATAAAAAGGATTATTTAAATTTCATGGCAGAGTTATGCAACACAAAACATGTTAGGAATAGCTGGCATTTTTGGGAGGGGCAGTGTATGATGAACACTGATCAGTTGATCAAAGCCTTTGCAACGTTTCTAAGATACCAGAGTAGCTGGTTCAAGTGCTTAATGTGAGTAAATCATTGAGGCCTCAATGATTTGCTCAATGATTTTCTCTGAGAAACTCCATACAAAAGGGGGAAAACTAGTGATAAGGTAAATGTAAACGGAAGAAACTCTTTCAATGAGGAGATCCTTGTTCTTGTGAGTAGCCAAATGGTGTTGTGATACAAAGAACTAAGAACAATGACAATAACCATGTAATAAAGCAATCTGAGCAACATGTGCAAATGGGAAAGATTAAAGTTGGCTGAGCAGCAACCTACCTTCAACTCCACAGGTGTCAGAAGGCTCAGCAAGACCAAAATTTTCAGACAAACTAATCACGGTGAGATTTTGGGAAATTTGTAACTAGATAGGTGACTGTGCCTTGCTGAGCACAGGCTTCACAAGCTTCCTATACATGGAAAGCACAGCGGTATGCTTTGCTTCTGAAACAGGCCTGGGCAGAGGGCAGCACACAGACACACATAGCCTACCATAGCCTCTGCAATCTAACTCTACAGTGAGAGAAATCAAAAGCTTGTTTCAGAATTTCTTGCTCCTTGGAAACAGAAACATGTGAAATTGGTTAGTTATCATTAGCAAGGTTTCTGAACTATGCTGCAAAACCCAAATTAAATTGTTTTGAGTACCAGTTTATGCAACCAGCCATTGCCAAGATAAGCATGTTGTGTGAGCCCTTTGCTGATGTCTGGTTACACCCCAAATTTCTCTTCTCTACATAGTGCTCCTGTCTTGGTTAATACCTTGTGGAGAAGTTGATACCTCATTCTGTTACAAAATCTTCTTTTCCTTCTTGCCATAGAGCATATATGAGGCCTTTTGGGACACTATCAAGAGCTCGTTGTTTCCACAGGAGACTAAAAATCTTTCTCAAGTAGTTTGAAGAGAAGAATTTTCCTTCTTTTAATAGAGCCTGCAGACTTGCAAAGCTGATGCTTTGCCTTTTTTTTTTCATAATAGACAAGGTAGTTAGAATTGCAGTTTGCTGTTTTTCCCTGGTCAAACTAGAAGCATGCAAGAACTTAAAAAAAAAAAAAATCTTTTAAGAGGTTTTGTTTTTTTTTTAAGTATATCCAGCTCAGTTATTAAGATTTGCAAAGTTTGGCTGGATAAAGCCAGAGTCTTTGCTCAACCTTAGATGTATCATATAGAATGTTTGTGCATGAGAAATGCACTAAGCTTCCCCTCTGGGAGGGGCCACAGAGGTAAAAAATGGCTTATTCTATGATTCACCCTGCATCTTCAAAATATTTGTACTTCAGAGAAGTCAAGAGAAGGCTCCATATAAATAATTTATGGGAGTATAATTAAAATAGTTCATTCTTCCTATGAGAATATTGACAGATATCAATTTTTAAACAAAACTTATGTGTAAATAGACATTGCACTGAATGAAATGGTGGGTACACGTTGCAAAACAAACAGAATGGGGATGGTTCTGCAGACCAAGTACCTAGCCCTGAAATCCCTTTTAGACTTCCTAAATAGGAAGTATAGGATTCAGTGGGGAATGCAGAAATTTGTCAAGTAGGTTTTAGCACATCATTTTCAAGCAATCACATTTTTGAAGCTGTATCTTGAATATTCAAAGGCATTTTTCTCTGCAGAGCGGCTTTTAAAAGGATTGGTATGCTAGACACACTTCATGTTCTCCTTATCTTTATTTAAACAAATTCCCAGACTTGATGCTCTAAAGTATCAAACTAAAATCTTCTGAGCTGAGCCATGCCACAAAAAGAGCTGTTTGTACATACAAACAGCATCAATTGGAAGAAGCACAACAGAAAACATAGCCTGCTAGTTATTTACTAGCAACTATTCAACTATAAAATACAAATTTTTGGCTAAGTGGATCTGCATCTAGGAATGTCTTGTCCATAAGAATTGAGTTTAATTAACACTAATTAGAGAAATAAATTCTGTAAAGCAAATCCATTTGATAGTGTGCTAATATTTAAAAAAAAAAAAGAGACAACTATTTTGAGTATAATTTGATCCCACTCAGCAATAAGTTCACTAACTAATAAACTGTACATTGACATCATGAGAAGCCATAGAATGATTTCTGGAGCACATCACACATCTTGAAACTACAATGAACCAAATAGGGAATTATTTAGGTGCTTAGCTCTAGGCTTCTTTGGCTAAAATATTAAGGAAAAAAGATTTAACATATAATGATCAACACTAAAAAAGATTAGAGAGCTTAAACTCGTGTCTTCTTTAAAAAATTTCAATGTAAGCATACAATAATTCATTTTCAAATTAAATTTCATGTTTTAAAGGTAATAAAAAGCAGATTCCTTTCCAAGAATTCTTTTGACCATCATACCATCAATAGGAAATAGCACAACTGATAGCAGTTCATACAAGATGATAGCTTGAATTCTAGATTTTGTGTTCTATAGTGATTAAAAAAGGAGACTTTGATCCACAGCCTGATATTAGTGGAAAAACTCCCATTGGTTTCAGTGGATTTTAGAACTACCTCATAGTAACTTTCATTTCACTTTTTGCTAAAACTGAATCAGTTATGCTTGTGGTTGATTGCCTATCAGTAGCGCTGTTTGGATCACATATGTGTGGAGGAATATTGCATCACACACTCGTAGAGTTCAGACCCACATAAACTTTTTAGAGAGAAGGGAAAAGAGAAGAATAAAAGGCAAGGCAAGTTGACAGAATGTACAATTAAATGCTTGTTTTGAGGCGGTGGTTATAGACATTAGGTTTGCAGATCAGTGATAGGCTGTCACCATAATAACCATAGTGGATGATATATTTATTTGGTTCTCTGTATCTGGTAGTCTGCAAGACAGCTTGATTGTTAAAAATCATTTGTGAGTTTTGGGCATTTAAGTAAAATAAAATGTATAATGAGAGTAAAGCTACCCAGGGCTACCCAGGTGTTATTGCAAATGATATTATGAATCATTAAACCATAATGGCATATGAAAATATTTGATTATGGCAATGAATCCACCAAAAAAAAAGCATGAAATTATTTTAGCCTTGCAGTGTCCTTTAGTGTTTTACCACCAAACCATGTGTAGTTTTGTTTTTTTCCAATTGCCAGAATGAGATAAAAATGAATCTTCCTTTTATGTACCCTGGAAAATGCTCACTTCCTTGTCTGACACATACAGTACGTTTTATGGCTCATAGTTGTTTTATAAGGAGCAAATTATTACCATATTTAAGCAGATGTCAGCAGCTATTATGCTGTGAAGATTTTCCTGGAAATGCTGGATGAGTTGTTTAATGCTTTTTAGGAAGAAGACAATTATGCAAGACACATAACAATGAAAGTACCAAAAATAGTTTTATTTTGAATTCAAATGTCAATGTTCAGTTGTATACTAAATTCCGACCAAAATAAGGGCCTCACCATGCTATGTCTTGTACAAATAACAGATAAGTAACAGCCTTTCACTGAAATAGTTTGGTAGGATGAAAAAAAGGAACATCTTTTCTAATATAGAAAAAATTGAGTCACTATGTGGGGTTAGCAAACCTACATAAAAAGTGCAACAAAGTTGAATGCACAGTTTGAGTCTTGGCCTAGGACTTTTAACTGTGAGGCTGTTCTCATTCTTTAGCTGAGAAACTGAATGGCACAAAATTGAAGGTGTCTCTCTAAAATGTCTGTTTTGTTTTAGGTTTGTTTTTTTCTTTTTCATTTGACATGGAAATTTTCTTCTTATTAATAATAATTGACAAAATAATTATCTTGTTAATTATTATATTATTATTATAATTATGTTGATAATTAGATATTATTATTATATATATTATATATTTTTATATTATTAACAAAATCATCATCATCATCATCTTGGCAAAGCCTAATATTTTGATTTAATAAATTAAAAGAAAAATGCTTACAGAATTCAACAGCAAAGTTAAAATCAGGAAGTATATACAAAAGCTGTTCTTTGGACTGTATCAGGCATATCCCATCTACAGTTTCAGTATTTAAGTGACTATGTTGAAGTAGAAGGTTGGGAGAAAAAAGCAGGTTTTTTTCATAAAAACCAATAAAACCTTCAAAATTATTTGATTCAAACACAGTCTCAGAAACAACTTTATGTGGTTAACATGCTAGAAATAAAAGATGCAGTTTTGTTTTCACTGAGCCCAGTGGGTAGTTTTCCCATTGGCTTCAAAGGTAGCAGCTCTGAGCAGTAGATTATTGCAGATGAAGCAAAGCAAGATGCTACTTTACTAAAATAGAGTATTTGTTTTGCATCAATACCAAAGTCAATGCCAATGCTGCTACTATATTGATCTAAACTTAATTATATACCCTACAGACTGATTCAAATTTAGCTTGAAAATTAAAAAACACATAGGCAAATTCTTACAATACAGCAGAGGCAATAGATCCATCATAGGTGAGCTTATTTCTTTGAATATTGATTACTTGAAACTACTTTTGTACTCTCCTCTATGGCCATGTCCCCTCCAGCAAAAAACACCAGAACAATAACAAAACCCAGTAGTCCACCTTTCCTTGCATCTCATTCTTCGTGATGATGACTGATTTTCCTTGAGAGTCTGTTGTGCTGTACTGACCAGCATGAGTCAAAAAACCTTCAGCATTTGAGCTGAATGTGGATCAGTGGATTTATAGAAACAAAACCTGCTGCACTATATCATAAACATTTTCTTTTCTGAGGTCCTAGGCATTAAAACCACAACATTTTAGTGCAATGCTCTGAGTCAGTTAGTTGTCATGTCACAAACAAAAAAAAACTATGACTCAATGGAGACAGTCTAGGATCTATCTGCATGCTCCCCTTTGTAGATGAGGTAAGAGCTGCAAAAGTAGGCAGACCATGCCCCATGTAGTTTATATTGTAAACTAAACTTTGCACAAAGTATTATTTTACTGCTGGGGAGACAAGGCACACATATACTAAGACTTCTCTTCTACAACATTGCTGTTGCAGTCAATGTTTCATACAAGTTGCCATATGCAATCCCAAGATTGTTGTGCCCATACACTGCTGTTGCAAGCTGGCAAACCCAGTCTTATCTCCTAAATAAATAGCACACCTCCAAATGACACAGACCTCCATCTGTATGCAAGGATGCTGTATCCTAGGAATTTTCTTATAATTCAGAAAAATATCACCTAGCCTGCCTCTCATTCATGTGGATTTTTTAAGACTATTCCCCCTTTTTACTAACTGGAGTTGGAGCAGTGCAAGGCAGCCCAACAGAATTTTTCTCTCTCAGCCCAAAGGGGATGTCTCCTCTGCATGAACAGAGTATATGGAAGGGAGAATTTCCAGAAATGACTTTATGAGCATCTTTTTCTACCT